ACATCAAATAAGAAAACTTGATTTTATGGGATTTTAGTATGAAGTATATATTGACTTAATGAGCCATCATTTTTAGCCTAAATCATATTTTGCACTAAAACCGAATTTTCATATTTTGATTTGGTGGGAATTTGATTTTTTAGTATTTTTATTTGAGTCCAAATAGAGGGTACTTCCTTATTTACATTGTAAACTTAAGTAAATGGAGTAATATAAAAATAAATAAAAGGAAAAGGACAACAATGGTAATCTGTACAACAGTTGAGCAAAGGGGCAATTTGAAGCACTTACAATGATTTTTCAGGCTAGGGGAGGTGCAGCTGCACCTCCTTGCGCCTTATTAGATCCGCCTCTGTTTAACATCATTGTGACTTTACCTTGGTAGCAACATTCCAATTTTTTTAGAAAGAGCATAATGAGGGCAAAACTCAATCCTCAAACCTGTCTGCCCTTTCCCACTACATAACAGAGGAAATGACATGATCAAATCCAATCAAAGCCTAACGTAAATTGCAAAGTTCATATGTGGCACAAAATAGAAACACGTGTCCTTGCCTTCAAGAAAATCCTGTGTGTTTTCAACCAAGTGCTAAAAAAGTTTGCAAGATTTTACAGGAAAAACAGGTGCATGAAAATGATCTCCGGGTACACAGCAAACGGAGACCGTCTGCAACAGCTAAAAGCCTTTGACGAGTCCAAATCTGGTGTCAAAGGGATCGTCGACAAAGGCATCACAAAAATCCCACCAATTTTCGTTCGGCCGCCGGAATTTTCTGGCTGCGACAAACCAAGTTCCGGCCATCGAACTCGAACCCAGTTCAGTGTTCCTGTTGTGGACCTCACCGACACAGTCGGCCGGCGTGCTGACGTGGTTGCCGGAGTTCGGCGTGCCGCAGAGACTGTTGGGTTCTTCCAGGTGGTGAACCATGGGATACCCAAGAGAGTGTTGGATGAGATGTTGGCGGCGGCGCGTGGGTTCCACGAGCTGCACAGGGAGGTGAAGTCTGAGTACTACAGCAGGGAGCTGCTGAGGAAAGTCAAGTTTGGAAGTAACTTTGATCTGTATCAGTCAAGGTTTGCTAATTGGAGGGACAGTTTGTTTTGTGTCATGGGTCCTGAGCCTCTTGATCCTCAAGAATTGCCTCTAATTTGCAGGTATGTCAGAGTATTGGGAAAAGTTCAAATTTTGGTCTAGTAAAATGGATGGCAATTTATTCTCATCCCACTTGGTACATGTTGTTTTTCTTTTCTTTTTTGAAAAATCTAATTTGCAGAGACATAACTATGGAATACTCTGAAAATGTTCACAAAATGGGTGTCACATTGTTTGAATTGCTATCGGAGGCACTTGGGCTCAAACCTGACCACCTTATTGGATTGGATTGTGCAAAGGGGCATCTTATTCTTAGTCACTACTATCCACCGTGCCCTGAGCCTGAACTCACAATGGGCACCAGCAAACACTCAGATCCTGACTTTCTCACCATCCTACTCCAGGACCAAATTGGTGGCCTCCAAGTTTTGTATGAGAACCAGTGGATTGATGTTCCCCCTGTGCCTGGAGCTCTTGTAGTCAACATTGGAGATCTCTTGCAGGCAAGCCCTCTAATTCCTCTAACAACTATGTGAAAACAGATTTTTTTTCCTTCCACAAACTGTTCTAATATATGGGGAGGGAGATCGAACTTGAGTGCAGGGGCTGCACACTACTTTGGACAATTGGCCTAATCCGCATCTGCAAAATCGATATTTTTTATATTTGTGACTAAATTCCTTGAAATGATTGTTGTATTGTAATTATTGCAGCTAGTGTCGAATGACAGATTTAAGAGCGTAGAACATCAGGTGCTTGCAAACCATGCAGGGCCAAGAGTATCCATTGCCTGCTTTTTAACGCCGCATCTTCACCCTTCGACAAGGTTGTACGGCCCCATAAAGGAGTTGTTGTCAGAAGATCGTCCGCCTGTTTACAAAGAAACCTCACTGAAAGACTTCATTGCCTACTACGATAAGAAAGGGCTTGATGGAAACTCTGCACTAACACATTTCAAGTGCCAAAGGTAACAAACAATGAATTAGGAAACTCATGCTATATTGTTCACTCTTGGATTGATGAGTTCAGATTACTAGTAGGCTACTTAGATTTGGAGTAACAGTTCAATTTGTACGAATTGGATACGAATGGCCACCGTATACGGAATCCATTGAAATAAGGCACCTAATGCATTGAATTTGTTGCTGTTAACATATTTTCCTTCACCTTTTTTTGGTAGTGTGGTTTGTAAGTACCAAATGTGGTGAAGATGTTATATAGGCTTTTACCATGTGCTTTATTCAGAATGCACCACAAAACAAAACCAATTATATGATACCATGCATATTTTTCAATTCAAGATACATGTGTAAATTTGAGTTTAAACGGTATACAAGACGAGGACCAAAAAGACAGAGAAGGAAACGGACAAGTGGGGTTATGTCTCTGCTGGTGTCAGAAGGATCCTGGACAAAGGCATCACCACCAAACATTATTGAATAGTAAATTGTAAACTGCTGACCAAAACACATTATTGGATTTGAGTAATATTTAATAAGAGCGTGCAAACATTTCCTAATGAAGCCTTAACCAAAGTTTCATTTTGATTTCAAAACCAAGAACATGGTGTCTCCGAATTCAACAAACCAAGCCCGTCTCCAACAGCTAAAGGACTTTGACGAATCAAAAGCTGGTGTCAAAGGGATCGTTGACAAAGGCATCACAAAAATCCCATCAATTTTTGTCCGGCCACCGGAATATTCCGCCGCCGGCTACCCAAGTTCCAGCCAACCAACCCGACCCCAGTTCACTATCCCTATCGTGGATCTCGCTGACACTACCGGCCTGCATGATGACGTGGTCGCTGGAGTCCGGCAGGCAGCGGAGACTGTCGGGTTCTTCCAGGTGATGAACCATGGGATACCCAAGAGAGTGTTGGAGGTAGAGGTGTCAAACGGGCCGTGCCGTGCCGGCCCATCCCATTTAAACTCGTGCTTTTAACGTTTTCGTGTCGGGCCGGGCCAGCCCATTTAATTTATCGGGCCGTGCCGTGCCGGCCCATTTAGTAAAATTATTGATCCCGGCCC